AAACAGATTACCTGAATATCCGGTTGGTTGTTTGTAACCACTCGGTTAATATTTTATACTATACAATAGATATAACGAAAACATATAGCATATAAAAGATTGCAAATTTCATGTTATTAAAAAGATTTCTTAAAATTGAGTTAAACTCAAATTTCTTTTTTCAAAAGTATTGAATGTTCCACTTCTCATCCAATCAATACTACATAAATATATTTTCCATTTATAAAAGTAGTTGGAACTTGCTTCCATTGACATATAAGATATTTTCTCATTTATTATTTTTAAGAAAAGTGATAGTGACTAAAATCTCATCTTACCTATTAGTCTACATCCATTGAAAATAAAATAAACAAAATAGAAAATTAGTTTAATTTAAACAAAATTGTGTAAACTAAACTATAATCAAAAAGACCAATTCTTTTTAATAATTCTTTTACTTTTTATATAAATTATTTGTAAAATAAAATGTTCAAAATACTCATTATAAAATTTCAGAGAAACTGGCATGTTATTGTATTTTACTTCCTTTTCAATTCATGTATGATATGTACTATATTCCGTCCCTGAGTTAAAAGTTGCCAGAAAAAGAAAATTTTATTTAGGAGAATATCTGAGCCAATAATATAATATAAAAAATTATATATATGAAACATTCTATTTTTTTTCTAAAAATGACCAATTAATTTTTTTTAATATATATCTTATAAAAAAAAGTTTGCCGAAAATATAATGCAATGGAAAGTACACGAAGTTTGACTTGCAGGTTGACTTGGGATTACCCGTACGTTGGTTTAGTCTTTTCATGTTTACTTTCATAACAGGGTGGTTCACCAAGTCGAGTCATTGAGTTCGAAAAGACAGCTATAACAATTAAAAATATAAAATATAACATTATTAATATTTTATAATCGAATTATTTCATTCTAATATAGAAATAAGTTAAAATAAATAAATTACTCGCATATTGATCTATTATTTACTTGTACACTGAAAAAAACAAATATCATTCACGCATTTTAATACTATATTTTTTCTAACTTTATCAAATTATTATTATTATTGGTTGAAAATGCCTTAATATAAATAAAAATCGCACCTTCTTATTGGAATTTGTACTATAAAACTAAATTTGCCATTGATAAAGTTCAAAGGTGGTTAGTATTTGTTTTTTTTCTTCTAATTTTTTAATTAGCTACAACAGATTATATAAGTTTAGAAGAATCTTTTTATATCAATTAAAAAAATTATATCAATTTTTGTATAAATATAAAAACAAAGAATATAAAAAATATTTGGTTTTTATACTTCTAAAACAAATATAAAAAAAATCTCACTTTTATATTAATTATTTATAAAATAAGTATAATATACAAATGATTTTCTTTATGTTATTTTCAAAATAAGTATAAAAAAGATACCTAAAAAATTGATAGAAAACCTATTTTGCATTAGTGTATTGTTAGGACAAAAGCTTGCAAAATTAATTTTAGTTAAATTAATTTTTGAGCAAAGTGATTTATTTTAGAAGTAAATTTATTCTAAAATAAAAATGACTTTTTTATCATTTGTGGAATTTTTTGAGACAGAATAATGTTATGAAACATAAATTTTAGTTTAGGGTTTGAACTAAGGCAAAAATAGTTGAAAGTGTTCCCATTTTCTTTGAATTGGACCAAAAAACCTTGGCATTGGATTTCCATGGAAGAGGTAACATTGATTTTCCCTTTCCTAAGAATTCTCTTCCCTTTGGACACATTGAAAAAACTTGTGTGGATGTGATTTGGTAACCTAAAGATAAGACCTTTAGCCAATCAACATAAAACTATGTGGTCCTCCCTAGTAGACAAATTCAACTAGAATTTGTATACACCCCTTTTTTGTAAATTAAACCATTGATTAATATTTCACACAAAAAATATTTTATATTAAATAATTAAACAAAAATTTATGTAAAAAATAGCTATTTATTTTCTATTAACAAGTTAAAGAATATTGAAGAGAATAAATGATGTTAGAGTTAATAAAAGATTAGAGATAAAAAGAAAAAAGAATTAAACAGGTAGTAAAATAAATGTTGTTAATAAAAATTAATTAAAAATATTTAAGTATATACAATACTTAAAATTTAATTAGATCTAATTGTTAAAAAGTTTACTTATGTAAATTTTGTTAGTTTCTTTCTGTTATTTAAATAAACGTTATAAGGAAAGAACGTGAAAACAAGAAGAGTGAGAAATTCACTTATCCGGTAAGAAAATTTATACTGTCGCTAAATTAAATTTTATTACATGCATGTAATAGATTAATTATTTGTAAGAATACTAATTTTAAAAATATTAATGGTAAATAAACAATTTCGAAAATAGTGTATGGGAAAATAACTTGTTGTTTGATTTTCTTTTTCTCGTTCTCTTTTTTTAGTAGCAGGGTCGACAAAAGCAAAAGTAGAAAGAAAAATAATAGAGAACGAAATGATGGCCTCACAATGGAATCATATGAAAGGAGTGAAAGATAATAAAAAATAAGAATTTATATAAAAGTAATTTTAAAAAGGGCAACACACACACACACACACATATATATATATATATATATATATATATATATATATATATATATAAAATTAAACTTTTAATTATTCAATGTTTTTATATAGAATTTAATTTTTTAAATTTGTAATATTTTTTAATTTTTTTATGGATTGAGATATTTTTCATCTTTACTCCAAAGAAAACGTGTGACTTAACAAATAACATAATATAAAAAAAAATTTTAATCTCATTTAAATTTGATTTTAAAATTTATAATTTTTTTTAAATATTTATCAAGTATTGATGAGTATAAACTTCCATATACTTTTTAAATAAATATATTTGATAGATAAGACATATTTTTTGTAATGAGTCCAAGTAAATATTACTTGTATCCAATTTATTTTTATCTTTATGTTAAGGATGTCAAAAGTAAGTTAATCCAACTAACATGAGTTGGCTTAAAAATAAGTGAATTTAATTCGATTTATTTTGTTTTTAGAAATTTTTTTCTTGAAGTAAAAACTGAAACCCCCTAAGCATCTTATATACAAATTAATGTACTTGGATGAATTTTGTAACATCCCATAAAATACAGTAATAAACCATATATCATAGAAAATCACATATATTAATATATCAATTCAGTTTTACAACTAAAGAAGTAGAGCTCGATAATGGCCGAACGGCCTTGAATCCACTGATACGAATATTACAGGCGTTCAATAAACATAGATGACCGAAAAGTTTACAAAATATAATTACCGAACGGTCAAAGTAAGCAAAAGAAGAGGTTCGATCTAATACAGTATATTAACACGACTAAACTAAACATTTTAACCGAACGCACTACTGTTCGGCCTTCACTTCTACCTCCACTAGGTTCTCTTCAGCCAGGATTCTTTCCTCAAGCGTTTCTTCCAATAATGCATCTCCCTCTGCTCACATCCACACGGATGATCATTGCAAGGACAAGACGAACGTACAGATACAAGACAACACAATGAAAACGAAAGGGTAAGCTTATTGAATTTAATTCAAGTAAAACATACATTTCATAACATATCAATCAGATCAATAATTCA